TTATTATTCGACACGGCTTATTTATTGAGCAACCCGAGCAATTTAAATACTTCCTACCAACATCTCCACTAATCACCCATTTATTAAACAGGAAATATAGTTTTTCGCTAATTGAAAAGAAAACGAAAATTATAATAATACAGTAGTTTTGTTTGCTTCCTGTACGTTCATTTATTTTGTGTAAATCAAACTATATTAATTGTAGTTGAATGAAACAAGGTCGATCATAGATAGATATCAAATTTGAAAATGATGATGATTAATTGATCACTAAAATCAATATTAATAATCAATTTGTAACTAATTGAAAGCGTATTAAATTCTATTAAATAATAAAGAAAAAAATATTATAAAATTAGTTAAAAAATATGTATTTTTTAATTAATTAAAAATTACAACTAAAATTGAAATTATTGAATGAAAATCGCTATTAAAAAATACGTTAATTTATTCAAATATTATCGAATGAATGAATGAATATTCTCTATTAGTTAAGTAATTAAAATCGTAATTTATTAATAATGTACATTTTTTTCTGAAATAAGTTTTTTTATATAAAAATACTTTATAAAACTATCAAAATTATTTAAAATTTTATAATTTTTATTAATTTTCTTAGTTATTTATGAGTGTTTTTAACAGCGTCGAGAGATTTTCGCAAATCATTCACTTTATTTAACTTATTAACTTTTTTTGAAATGGAAATCATTTTTTAAAAGTAACTTTTCATAATTTGAAAACCTTCAGTCGTTAAAACTTTAGTTCAAATTAAGACCAATAAAAAAATATTATATTCTGTCTTTCTTCTACAATAACTTTCTAATTTTTCTTTCTTTTTCATGATGTAACTAATTGGAAATAATGAGTAAACAAAGATTAACTTTTGAAAAAAGAAATTTTATTTTAAGTAGCTATTGGTAGTATGAAAATGTAGCAAACGAACAAAGACAATATCACAAGGAGTTTCAGAACTGTTCAGAATGTTCATAGGCATCGTTCAGGATAACCAACAACATCAACGAGCTTCACCAGCTAAGTAAGAGAACTGGAAAGTTGTTACGAAACATCCAAAAAAATCTGTAAGACAAACAAGTCGTGAGATTGGCATCAGCAAATCAAGTGTCCATCGCTTTTTAAGACGTTGTAAATAGAAAATTTACATTCCAACAATGGCACATACTATCAATAAAGATGATCCAGACCGAAGAGAACAATTTTACGAATGGTACTTGGAAAAATGAGAACAGAACGCACAGTTTTCAGCCAGAAAACTGACGACCGTGAAAGGAATTAAAAGCCGCAATTGAGCAAGAATGAGCCACAACACCAAATGAAATGTTTGTTGAAGTTTGTGAATCAATAACCCACAATTATCACCAAAACGGTTATAATTTTGAACATCTGTTGTAGGAGGAAAAGTTATACATTTTATGTAGTTTCTTTTGTAATTTATAATCACACATCCTTTTTTTGGGACACCCTATATATTTATATTAAATATTAACCAGATACATTACATAGTTCTGCTTCGATAAGTGCGGATTCACTACGATAAGTCCGACTTCAAACAATGCGGAATATTGGATGTGCCTATTATTGCCGATGTGGAATTTTCAACTGAGATAAATATGAAAACATTTAATTTAATTATAATTGATAATGACAATAAACATTAATTAACACAATCACTTTCAGCATTATTACAGCCATTACTTACGGTACTTTGACTTCACTTAAAAATTATTATTATTATTGCGTTCTTTTCTTCGTGCATTTCGTAAAGTAAATGTGGAAAACATTATTGATTAAGCATTTCGAACATGTTTCGCCTCGGGGTGGTAAAATGTGCCTCAGGTTTCTTCATATATATATTTTTTCTTTCTATTCGTCTCTTCTTTTAGCTTGACGAGGGAACCAGTTCTTACCGTCGACTGTTTTCCGGTGCCTCGGGTCTCCTCTGAGGGAAAACTTGCCTTTCGGCAGCGTTCGCTTCCCAATTTGTATACGTCAAATGCAAAATTTGCATCGCTAAATTCGCATTTAATTATAAAAACACGAATTATTACCAATTAAAATCCGACGTTTGAAAATACCAAAACATAAATCATTAAATATTTCCAACAAAGAAAATAATAATTTACGTATTTCAATACTTTATATTTGATATAATTTGAAAGTTAAACAATGTTTGTGGTGAATGGGTGACAAAATCTTTGAATAATTACAAGAAATATATAATCTATTGTATTTTTTATTTGGAAATAAAGTATGTGCAACAATACCTCGCATAGTGCGGCTTCGATCAGTGCGGATTAACTATTATATTTTTCATCTATCCAGTGAAGTCTTTATTGGTGTTGTTTATTTATATGTAGTTTCAATTTGTCCTGTTTCAGTGCTAGATATTGGCGGGACCCGCACAATTCGAGGTATTAACCTATTATATAAAAAGAACATGAATGAAGCAATGTTTGTGATCAGTTCAAAAACAATTACAAATTACATAATTATTTTTTCATCTATATAGTCAAGTCTTTTGTTGCGCTATTTATTTGTATACAGATTCAATTAATCCTATTTCAAACAGTGCGGTTTATTGTCGAAATCCTCATAATCCGAGGCTTTAACCTATTATATAAAAAGAACATGAACAGGCTATTTTAGTGATCAGTTCAAAAACAATCACAAATTACGTAATTATTTTTTCATCTAAATAGTCAAGTCTTTGTTTGTGGTGTTTATTTGTATGCAGTTTCAATTAGTCCTGTTTCAAACAGTGCAGGATATTTGCAAAACCCGCAAAATTCGAGGTTTTAACCTATTTTATAAAAAGAACACGAGTGAAGCTATTTTTGTGATCAGTTGAAAAACAATCACAAATTACGTAATTATTTTTTCATTTATATAGTGAAGTCCTTGTTTTTTGCTATTTATTTGTATACAGTTTCAATTAGTCCTGTTTCAAACAGTGCGGTATATTGTCGAAATCCGCACAATGCGAGTTATTAACCAATTATATAAAAAGAACATGAAGAGGCTATTTTAGTGATCAGTTCAAAAACAATCACAAATTACATGATTATTTTTTCATCTAAATAGTCAAGTCTTTGTTTGCGCTGTTTATTTGCAAGTAGTTTAAATTAGTCCTGTTTCAAACAGTGCGGGATATTGGCGAAACCCGTACAATTCGAGTTATTAATCTATTATATAAAAAAAATGAATAAACCTATTTTTGTGATCAGTTCAAAAACAATCACAAGTTACGTAATTATTTTTTCATCTATATAGTCAAGTCTTTGTTTGCGCTGTTTATTTGTATACAGTTTCTATACAGTAACTATTTTTGTGATCAGTTCATAAATCATAAATTATTCAACATAATAAGGAAATTTAGTTATTTCACAATTCTCTTGTTAACAGCATTCGGAGAAATATGAAAATGTAGAATAATTGCGATACGTCAGGTGATATAAAAACGTTTCGGTTTTACCTGTTAATAAAAGCAGGTCTGGCCTGCGTTGGACGTCCGAGAAGTTAAATGGATTTTACATGGAAGCCCAGAAGCGCGTTTGCACCTTTCAATCAAGCACAAGAGTTTAGCTGCATTGGGCACGTCATATTAAATAACAATGTGCACCGGGATTATTTCTCATATCATATAGCAGCCGTATCCATCACGACTCCTTTTTAACAAGTTTCGACAGACGCTCAAAACGCATGCAAATCGTAACAAAAAGTTTATACTTGTATGCAGCTGATATATAGATTTCAATAAACTGTTTCATATAAAATATTAGAAGACAAAAAGGCTTTGAATTCAAAAATTATTTCAAGTTTTGAATTTATCAATTTTGATGAGTAATAAAGTTACGTTTTCTGAAGACTTATTAGCCTCAATTAGCTTACCAATGTAATTTCACGTATATTAATTTTACTTTAAAACTTTGAGATCAAATTATAAATAATCAATTAATTAAAAATCGTTAATTGTGGCTTTTCGTATAAGATTCTAATGAAATAGTAATTTGTTAAAAGGAAATCAATTATGCATCTAATTAGTTTCACCAATTTATTTTCATATTTAAAAAAATGTGACTAATTGACAAAGCATTAAGTTAAAATTAGTGTTTTTGTTAAATTCAAATGTTATGAAGGAATGTATGTAGAATTGCAACATTTTCATGGCAATTTAAACAAAATTTTATTTGGAATTAAAAAATTGTAGTTTAGTCTTTAGATATTTTGATGTAATGCTTGTGATTAATTGCATTTGGAGCTTAGATACATAATTAATTAGTACATTCAGAGGATTACGCATTTAATACCTTATTACGTGTTAGCATGTATATGGGTATTAATTAAGTTGGAATTACTTGAGTATGCAATTGTGTGTAAATACGTATGTAGCATTTCGATGGTTGAAATTCAAAATGAAGGTAAATAAGTTTAAAAATTGTTTATTTTCGATTTAAAAAACAGATGAAGACAATATTTGTCGTTCATTATAATTGTACAAATGTTTCATTTGTAAATTCCCATTTAATTAATATGATATTACATAATTATTTAAGAAATTACAAAGTCAATTATATAAGTATTGGTAAAGATATAGAATTAAATAGTTGAAAATGCAACGACTCGACAATTTGTAGCATTTTAATGAGGATTGCACAAGAAGTGGTAAATGAATTAGTTATAAACTTGTTTATTTTTCATCTTCAGGAAAGAAAATATAACAGATTTGTAGGAATCGAAGTAGTATTAAAAATTTTAATTAAAAAAATGTATCTTCTCTATCCAAATGAAGTAGCTTTTATAGAATTTGATGGTTATTACATATATATTGGAAATATTAACAAATTAGTTGTAAACTTATTTAATGATGATAAATGTTGCTTGGAAATGGATGTAAATTAATGTTTTTATTGTCTATCATTTGGGAAAGAAATTACATAGAGAAGTTGGAAGAAGTATGAAGAAAATAAAAATAAAATATGTACCGTTTAGGGCACGTGGGCTCCAGGGTGAGAAGGCCTCGATTGTCCACGGTGGTTGTTGTAAATTGGAGCCGTCACAAGAGTAGTAGAAGAAGTGGTTGTTGTAGTGTGGATGACGGTAGTCAATGTAGATATATATTATAAACAGATAATTTCAGTTCGTGCGTAAGTTGTCACAACAAACAAGAGCATGCGAGAGGTAGAGCACACGTCGATCGAGGAGAGCGCGTGTTTTGTTGGCGGAGGCGACGGTGCCGAAGAGCGACGACAATGACAACAGAGGAATAGTAGAAGAGCCGCTTTGTGGACCGGTCTATGGGTTCGAGGATGGGCGCGTAACCACGACGACTCGACGGTAGAACAACGTTCTTTCGACTGGCTGAGTGGCCGCTTCGGCCGCGGCATGAATGCTGCTGCTGCTGCTCTGGCTGCGCCCGAAGCGGCCAACCAGAGAGACCGAATGGGGGCCCGAGTGCCTCTCTTTCCCCTATTCGGGGTCTTTTTGTTGCGGACCGGAGTCGGTGGGTTTAAATCCTGGAGGCAAGAAGGCTCAGAAAGCCCCCACGGGTCTCAACCTGGGTCCTAGCCTATCATCCCCTCGGGCAAACAGCCGTAGCTGCATACACACAGACGCGCACACACACTCTGCACGTATAGTGAGTGTGTGTGTGTGTATCCAGTTCGCGCGAAACGGGGAAACCCCTTTTCTCTTCGCGCAAACAAGCCGCGCTGCGCTGTTTAACATATACCTGTATCTTCCGGCGGTGTTCCAACGGGTCCTTCGGGACTTAGCAAGGACCTGCAACACACATTCAGTCTCCAAACAAATCCTCCACCTGCGCCACCTCAAATATACGGAGTTTTCCAAACAGGGACGCAACGAGAGAGGTTCAACAAACATAGGTATAAAACAGGACTACATTACTAAACTAACATACGTAATAGTAACATCGAATACAAGTGATAATTTTATATAGGGTGTCCCAAAATACATCCAAGAAGTAATTTTGATAGATAACACAAGTTTTTAATTGCAAATTGTATTTTTTGTATTTATTCGTAAACTATACAGTATAAGGATATGTATTATGCAATATACAGTGGAACCTCGCTTAACGAGCAAAATGAATTATAAAAAAATGACTCGCTTAACGAGCGACGTTTCGCATAACGAGTGACGATGAGAAGAGAAGTCTTGGATTGCGCGCCTACTACATCATTTTTAAAACTAGTGTAGACATGTTATGTGTATTTTTTGATATGTTTCGCTATACGAGTAAAAATCCGGAAATTTTGCAACTGATTAATCTCGTTAAGCGAGGTTCCACTGTATTTTACTACAAAACTAAGCATTTTATATAGTGTAGGTCCAGAGTTTTTCATTTTTGATGAATAACATTGAAATATAAAATTATTTATTAAATTTACAATACAAATCTGCAAAATTTTCGCAGAATTGTAAAAGATTGAAAAATTCTGATCTACATAAGTAAATTTGCATTTTAACCGTAACACACAGACATTAAACGCAACAGTAGTTGGTTTTTCTTCTAACCAAATGTCGAGAATATTACTGTAAGTCTTCTTGTCCGACTGTACAGAGAGATGCAGGTATGTGTGCGCGCTATGAACTAGATTTACATAATGAGTATCGACGTTAATACCTATTACAAATAATGCGAACATCGTTTCCTTTTGCAGACGTTTGCATCCTGCCTTCGACCATTTTATAATAATGCCTATAATTAAAACCCACGGGACTTCATCATTGTTTTCGGTTTAATTACTCCCACATTTCATCACACTTCCCACACAACAAACAATACCATATTGAAAATCAATGGTTACATTGCATTCATAAATATACAATCAAATTAAAATTACAAAAGTCCGAAAAGTGGTTCATTTAAGAAGTGGCAAATTTTGTATTTGGTACAGGAAATGTAAATTCATAACAAAGATTCATCAACTATCAAAAGTATGGTATAAATATATTGTATACTTTATAAAACATTAAGTCACAATTTCATAAATCATAGGAAAATAATAAATTAAGCAACGTTATGTAGTGGAAAACAAAATTATAGTTTTGAAAGTAAATTATTTATTTATTTCCTAATTTACTTAAAAATTACAAAAAAGAAATGTTAGGAAAATGATTGACAAATTGATTTAGAAAATCAATCCTTTTAAAGACAAGAACTAATTCTTGTCTTTACAAGTTTATTGACAGTTTCAGATTATTCAGTATTAATTTAAATAAATTTACTTTTGAGGATTTTTTTACTCAAATCCACTACTTTAGAAAATATACAATTTCTTGAGGAAATGCTAAATAACAAATAAAAAATATATTTTGATACACTTTATATACAACTTATGCTTAAATATAATCAATCTATATATTATGTTTACGCATAAGTTGTTTATAAAGTAAATAGAGGATGGTAACTCGCGGTTTTCTCTTTTTTCTCTATATTTCTCTTTAAACAATTTCACAGAAGATGATAGTACTTGGATGTGTTACGATTAAGCTTAGCAATTTGGGATGCGATAACATAATGCATGGTAGAAGCAAATAGAGAGAGAAAAGGAAAAGAGCCTTTGCAAATTGCATGTGTGTATGCAAAACTGCACCATATACTTTTCCGCCTAAGAAGAAACTATGTGGGTAACGAATACACATATTTCATGCGCTGCTGGTACTAACAAGAAGGAACGTAGAGGAATTAAATAGAATATAAAAAAAGGAAACAATGAGACGAAGGACGCCCACGAATCTAGTTATAAATATATCGAGAAGTGCGCGATTCCAATTAAATTCAGTAATAATGTACAAAAAAAAAAGAAAGGAAGAATGAAAGAAGAAAACGTCGTCGTCATCTGTGCGAGTGTGTACGTATTATATAGCCGGGGGAGTGTTAATAAGAAGTTTCGACGCATGCGAAGGGCCTTTTTCCCCCCAAAGGGGAGAGCGTTCAGGGTTGATCGCTCCAGGTTAATCCGGCCGACCTCGTTCCGAGAGCTCCATAATTTCAAAAATATTCCCTCCGGTCGTTTCAACGATAAAACGCGAATATACATAGATATAATACACACACACACTCATATATATACAAATTTAAACAACGGCCTGAAAATCGAGACTGGAAAATACGTTTCGTTAGGAAAATATTAATTGAAGGAGCTGACTTTACACTTAACTGGAATTCAGTTATGGGGCGAAGAGAGAGTGCACACACATGAGAAGAAAAGAAGGCAAGTTATCGATGCATCCATACTTCTTGCATTCCACCAGATGCACGAAGGAAGGAAGTGGATGGAGGTGCTCGTGTAATTCCTATATGAGGCAAATAATAAAAGGAAACAAAAAAAATATGAGACTTTTTTTTATGTTGTCCTCTCAGTCTTTCTGCGCCCTCCGCACGAAATGAATTATGAAACGCGATGGAATGCCATGTGCACTGCACTGTGACAGGTTTATATTGTGCAATGGACCTCTCTCGTTAAACAAACACAAACGCACACTTCTCTCTCTCTCTCTCGCCGAACTGAAAACTCTGTAGCTCTATTCATAAATGGCAATTTTACGAGCGTCGCTCCGTGGAAAAGTCTTAAAGGTTATTGGGCATTGTCCGCTGCTCCATCATGTTTCTCGCGTAATAATGGGAAACGACATTAAAGTGGTAATTCTAGAGTACAAAAAAAATTATATATATATAGTTTCTTCCAACGTCGTTCACGATCGTAAATTCATAAATCTCGATTAAGTATGCTCAAAAAATAACACACAGCTTTTTATATATCATGCGTGCTTTTTACGCAATTGTTGATTATATAACAAAATTGTTGGAATCTAACTATTTCAAATTTATAAACATATTTAGTAGCATTCTGTAATATATAGCAGAGTTTCTCAATCTATGAGTTGCGTTAATGTGTCACTAAATGACAGCTGTCACTTTTCAGCAAAGCATCAGTTATAAAACAGGGATACCCAACAAGGTTCAGATGGACCCCTTTTGGGGTCTGTGGAGTTTTGGATGAAAAAATATACGTTTTCAAAATTTATTAATAGATGTCACCTTGCGTCAAAGAATATATTATAAAACAAGGGTTCCCAATGGGATTCAGGTGGGCTCCTTGTGGATCCATGGAGTTTGGAAAGACTCTATAGTCTAATGTCGATGAAAAAATGTATACGTTTTTAAATTTTATTAAGTATGCTTCAAAATATAACACTTCAAATATAACATTTATATAACATGCGTGATGTTTACGCAATAGTTGATTATATAACAAAATTGTGCAGATACTTGTTGAAATCTAACTATTTCAAGTTTGTAAATATATTTAGATACATCTAATTCTGCGTACCTCAATCAATGGGTCGCGTTAATGTGTCATTAAATGACAGCTGTCACTGCGTCAAAGAATCAAACATTTTATATTATAAAACAATGGGTCTATGGAGTTTGGAAAGAGTCTATAGTCTATTGGAGGTCGATGAAAAAATTTATACGTTTTTAAATTTTATTAAGTATGCTTCAAAATATAACACACCCTTTATATACCATGCGTTATTTTTACGCAATAGTTGATTATATAACAAAATTGTGCAGATATTTGTTGAAATCTAACTATTTCAAGTTTGTAAATATATTTAGATACATCTAATTCTGCGTTTCTCAATCAATGGGTCGCGGTAATGTGTCACGAAATGACAGCTGTCACTGCGTCAAAGCATGGAAAATTTTATGTTATAGACCTAGGGTTCCCAATAGTATTCAGGTGGGCTCTTTGTGGGTCTATGGAGTTTGGAAAGAGTCTATAGTCTATTGGAGGACGATGAAGAAAATTATATGTTTTTAAATTTTATTAAGTATGCTTCAAAATATAACACAGCCTTTATATATCATGCGTGATTTTTAAGCAATAGTTGATTATATAACAAAATTGTGTAGACTATTTCAACTTTGTTAATATATTTAGATACATATAATTCTACGTTCCTCAATCTGTGGGCCGCGTTAATGTGTCACAAAACGACAGCTGTCACAAGGTTCAGAGTTTTGGATGAAAAAAATATACGTTTTCAAATTTTACTAATAGTTGTAATATGTATAAATATAATGATGTCAAAAGGTAATTTTTTGCATCGTTTCATTGAAATCTTTGATTCTATATACTATGATAGAATCAAAGATTTCAAATAGTAAAAATTGATAAACGAAATTGAATCAAAAAAGCATATGTGTTATTTATTTAACAATATGCAAACAATATTACAAGCAAAAATGTGAATCTTGATGAAGTTTGATTTTGCTCTAAAATTGAAAACAATTTTGTTTCAAGGTGGTCGATGTAGAAAAAAGTTTGATATTCTGACGTAATCAGTCATTAAATATTTAATGACAGCTGTCACCTTACGTCAAAATATCAACATTTTTGTGTTATACTACTTGGTAGCAGTACAACTGCAAACATGAATATTGAGAAACACTGATAAATAGTAAAAGGTGCAGATATAAAGTGGAACTACATTAAAAACATAAATATCTTACAATTATTACAATATATTTAAGCACATATTTAGTAATTATAACAATATACATTGAAATAATTATATATACTAGATATAGAGAAGAGATATATTCTATAATATAATTAAAACTAACTAGTTTTGACTTCGTAAAAATGAATGATAATGACATAAGATTTACGTACAAAAAAAATATTTCATCCTTTCGACGTGGCGCTATTATGCATACAATCAATGTATGACGCAAAGAAGTAATGGGTTCGGGCGTTTTAAT